TCAACGTTGCGGGCGCCCTGCCGCCTGGCTGCTCGGGGCCAGGCACACAACGGACCCCATTCAGTTCTGTCCTTGGGGGGAGAGGTCACGAACTGGTAACAGATAAAAACAGTCATGGAGTCAGGGCTCCGAAGAGGCTGGGAAGGGGTGCATTGGGGGGGGGGGGCTGTGTAAAACAGAGTCCTCAGGCAAGACCCGAGAAGCGGACACAGCCCCAGAGGGGCAGAAGACGGGGCTGGTGAGGCAGGCGAGCCTGTCTTGACCTTAGCATAAGGAGACCATAGTCATGACCTGAGTTTTTATTCTGAGAACAAGCACAGGCATGGGCGGGGGGGGCTGACTTGAGCGAGCAGCACGGCCAGGTCTGTGCTATTCAAAGATGGGCTCTGGAGGAAGGTGGGGAGGGGCTGCGGAGAGAGGAGCACTGACCACGGAGGAGGCTGTTACGGCCATCGAGACAAGCGAGGAGGGAAGCAGCTTGGTCAGGGCCCGGGGCTGGGGAAGCGGGAAGGCCTAGCTAGGTCGGTTCAGGCTGCGTTTGGGAGAAGAATCTAGAGGATCCCCGACGGATCAGACACAGTCGTGCAGGAGGGGAGAGACTCTCCGGCCACCTCCAGGTGCCCCTCCGCGGTGGCTCTGTGGGAAACGGGAAAAGCATCCCCCTTCCCGGTGGGTGCAGCACCATCAGCGCTCTCTGAGCACCCGGAGAGGGCACGACCTACAGCACTCTCACTCAGAGGAGGAGGAGAGCGACCCCGGGCCTCTGCCTGAGCGGCTGTGCACGGGCTGGGAATCCAAGGGAAGTCCAACTGCTCTGCCCAGCCGAGGTTTGGGGGCCTTTCCACAGGGACGCTCCCCTGGCCCTCGGGCCGGGCAGGCGCCTTCTTCCCTCCCTGCCCTGCAGGCAGCCTTTTTCAGAGCTCACGGCATTGTGTGCCACGGACCTGGAGGAGAAACACACATTCTAAACCCCCGGAAGCTAGTAGTTCCACAAAACCGTTTGGCGCTTCAAGAAACGCAGGTTCTAGAACATCCGCAGCCCCAGGGAAAATAAACAGAGACGGAGCGCGGGTCGTGAGGTCTGCAAGGCTCGTAAACAAAGCGTGCTCCCAGAGCCAGAGCCGGAACCTGGGCGGCGGGTCCCGATCCATCAGCGCCCGACTCTCCAGCGCGTGAAGGGACATCTGTCCCCGTTAACAAAGCCAGCACGGGGAACTAGCTAACTCCATTCTCCATTCTCCGGAGCTCACCGGGGCTGGAGTAAAAAGCTATCTCCACGAGAACGGAGCCACTCATTCTTGTGTTTTGTTTTTGTTCTTAAAGCGATCACTTCAGGCCCGCGAACCGAAGGGCTGCCGGTTCGATTCCCAGTCAGGGCACATGCCTGGGTTGCAGGCCAGGTCTCCAGTGGGGGCCATGCGAGAGGCAACCACACACTGACGTTTCTGTCCCTCTAGTTCTCCCTTCCTTTCCCTCTCTCTGAAAATAAATAAATAAAAATCTTAAAATAAGAGAGAGAGAAAGAGAGAGAGATCACTTCACCACCAGCGTATGAAGTTTCACATCCTGATACGTAAGGGAAAGACAAAACGTCCGAGCTCGTGAACGGAAGAGATGCTCAGAACCAGCCGGCCCTGTGCCACTGGTCCCTCACCCAGGGGCCAGTCACCTTGTAGCAGAGTTTCGTCAACGACTCAATCTCATCTCCTGACCACCTGCTCCCTGCAGGCAGGCTCTCTGCCTCCCTCTTCCACCCCCTATGGTCCTCTCTCTAGTATTTGGCCTGGGCTGTGTAGTAGGTGCTCATTAAACATCTGTTTGGTGAGTCAATGAGCATCGTTGCCTGAAGACTACTTCCACCCCAGCCCCGTGCTTCCCTGGGGCCCTGCCCAGACCGGAGCTGGACAGAAAAGGGAGCCGGGGTCAGGGGTGGAAAGGGTTTGGCTCCACCTCAGGTGCTACCTCTCACCAGCGCATGCCTGTGTGAGCCACGGCATTGGTTTTGCTCTTCCGGTCTCTCAAATGGGAGAAATAGCTGTTCTGTCACTTTTGGAGGGGTTGTGTACGAGGCGATGGGAAAGAAGCACTTGCAAAGGTGTTCTGCATGTGTGAGGTGACCCCACACGCCTGCTGCAATGGGGAGGCTTCGAGGGTGCAGGGCCTCAGGGCGGGGACCCAGGCCTCGGGGGCAGCCCGGACCACAACTCACTCTTAGAGAGCCAGGCAGGTCAGTAGAGTCGATTGGCAGGTATCATTAATGACTGCAACGTCGCAGAGGAACACATCACCCAGCCATGCTCTCTGTATACGGGAACAGGAGGTCAGGGCACAAACTACAGAGCTAGCAGATAATGTGAGTACGCCAGTTCCCTGTTATAAGGCAACAGGGCATGTTGGGGCCTGCGGCTAACTGGAGAGTACACTCACCCTCTGCCTTGGGCAGGCGTTTGCACTGAAAGATTTAAAGCGCACGCCCCATCGAACACATCTGGGACCTCACCTGCAGGTGGAGGGATTGAGGCCCTGCAGACTGTTGTACTGAGAATGACCTTTTTCCTGATGCTTTGACAACTGGGGGGCCTTGTTGACACTAGGGGCACTGCGTCCTCCAGGGCCAGCCAGTTCCTAGCGACAGCACACAGCCCAGCTCGAACACACCTCCCATGCACAATCTGACCTCCGGGGCTCCTACCGCAGCCGCCTTGCTCCCCAGGCTTTCACACTGCACACTACCTGCCCTCGTCATGCAGAGCCAGGTGGCCAGGGCCAGGTCCCAGACAGCTAGGGACAGCCCCTGTGCCCCCTGAGCTTGTGGAAATTATTCAAGCCAGCCAATCTGAAGCCTGCCTGCCCTGCTTGCCTTCCCGTGGAAACACAGCACAGCCTCTGGCCTGCATTTCCCCCTCACTCCCTCTGCCTCCTCGTGGGCCTGGGGCGTCCCCATGCAGCCTGAGGAAGGGCCCACCCCTTCCTCTTAGGAACTGCAACACACCCTCCTTTCAAGGCAGTTGTCCCCCCGCCCCCCCCCATCTGCTGGCTTCACTAAATCTGAATACTAATAAAACCTGTATTTTCAAATATCTCTAAACTCCCCTGGAGCAAAGATTCCACAGCTGCTTTAACACCATTGAATCTGGGCACCTAACACCGTCCCGAGCACCTCGCGGACGCAATTTAAATACTAGCCAATGGATGGACGGATGGACAGATGGACCGGGGTGAACATGGAAAGTTGGCTACGTGGATGCCCTGTGCCTCGGGCCCCCATTGGCAGCGGCCTCTGGAAGCTGAACTGTGCACCTGCCTCAGTTCTGATTGGCGGCCGGGCAGGAGGGAGCGGGGGGAAGTGGCCGAGCTCACGCTGGTGGCAGTCGGCTGTGGTTAAACACGTGTGGCTCGGCCTCCTGCTGGCACCCAGCCTTTCGGGCAGCGCCTGGGTGAGAGCCTTGGCTTTTGGTAGACCACCTTCCGGCTAACTCCGGCTGCTTCCTTCACCCGAGGGCTGATAACAAGACCGCCACCTCAAAGGCTCACTTTGAGGTTAAAGGGTGAAAGCCAGAGAAAGGGCCCCAGCCCACCTGCTGGCACAGGCTCTCCGAAGGCGGCACCAGGCAGGCCGCTCCGCTCCGTGCGCCCCAAAATGCCCCCGGGTCTGCCCTGGCCCAGTGGGGTGGTCTGCCTCCCTCCCTGCACATTTCTGACCGGTAAACTCAAAGTTGAGCTAGACAACCCTCACGCGTTAAAATGCACCCATCTACTCTGCTTGAAGGACTGACTTTCTCAAATGAAGGGTGTCATTCTCAGCATCGCCGTCTTGTCCCAGGCAGGGAGAAGGCCTCAGACATCCTGGGGAAGAAGCAGAAGCCCCCTGTTGAGGGGTCCTGCATCTGCAGTTTCCGATAGACGTTCAGTTGGGTGACCCAGTCAGTCGTCAGCAGTGAATGTCTCCCCAAGGCCCTCCCTCCCCCAGTCTGGAGAACCTAAGGGACTGCCCGAGGGGTCACTCTAGGGGAGGGTCATCAGTGGGGTGACCACACGGACTGGTTCCCCCAGGACAGACCCAGCTTATGCCACTGTCCCAGGATGCCACTGTAATTATGAAACTCACCCCACTCCTCTCTCAAGAGGGGCCTGGCCTGACCGGTAAATTATACAGTCACCCTCGACATCAGGCGATTCATAAATAAATGGAAAAGTTGCAAGACTCACAAGTAACAGAGTCTGGTTGCCTTGCTCTCACACAGGAGTTTAAGGTTTGGCGAACTCACTGGAGGTCTGGCCGAGGCAGCCAGCAGGAAGACTTAGCAGAAGGGAACTCACTGCGCCTGACCTTGGACTCTGGTGGACTCGGCTCACCAGAAGGGGGCTGGGGGGCGCCCGGGGCCGGCTGGGTCAGTCTGGGCCAAGCAGAACTTCACTCACAGCCTTTCATCCCAAGAACAGACTTCAAAAGACAGTATTTCTTTCTCCTTGTTGGAGTCTCGGGCTGGGAGTCCAGCAAAGGCTGGGGCAGAGAAGAAAGGATGAGACGTGTCCCCGGGTGCACTATGGGAGACAGGGACGGCGCATGCGTGTTGTCGCCGGCACAGGCTGGGTGCCGCAGCCCCATTCCACACCCCTGTGCCATGGGGGCCCTGAGCAGCTAACTCCCCACTGGTCTTCCTTTCGTCCTGGCTGAGGTCTCCCTTCTGTCCGGGGGAACTATTTGTCTGTATTGCGTGAAACGTCGCCGACTGTGGGCAAAACCCAGACAAACCCACACACGAGAAATAAGGACCCTGTGACGCTCACACTCAGCCCCTCAAAGCAGAGGCTGTAGGGGTGGCTGTTCTCTTCCCGGCACTGAACCTGCCCGTGAGCAGTGGCCGGAGGTGGCCAGACCCACCCCGGCGTGAGCCGATGAGCCACGTGAATCTGGGGACAGGCAGGACCCCTCCCACAGAGGCAGAGCACAGACTCAAAAGGGCAGAGGTGGCTGGAAGTTTCAAAGTTTCACCTGGTGGCCTCACAGGAAGTTTAATCAAGCTATACAATGCTCAGTGTCCAGTGTGTAAGGACTCGTTCCACCTTGTACGTGTGTGTGTCTGTGAACTTAAACTTCAAAGCTATTTGTTGTTGGGGTTTTTTTTTATGTAAGATAAGCCATCATGCAACACGGACTGGTCAAGCAGTTAATGACATACACATATCCCGTCGGTGGGCTTTGCACATTTCGGTCCTTGCAGGTAACAAAGCAGCTGGAAAACCTGCACAATCCTGAGAGTGAGTTCCTTTGCGTCCCGGAAGCTGCCAGCCCTGACAGCTCTCTGGGGGCTCATGTGTTATAAATTCTGGAAGCCCTTTTCGCCGCAGTCTGGGCATCGGGAGGGTCTTCTTCCTCTTCCTCGGCGCGCTTGTGCTTTAAAAACAGGTCCGACTTCAAGAAGCGGCTGTAGCTGTCGTACTTCATGAGGTTGAAGATCTGAGGGGAAGAGGGAAGAGGAGGCTGAAGCGTGAGGCTGGCCAGGCCATGAATCACTCTATCAAATATTTACTCAATACCTCTCGCGCACGCCAAAGAATGCACACACAAGCAAGACACTCGGAGACAGCTACAGTCAGTCACGGGCTGGACCAGGCAGATTTCCTGGCTGTTTCCGGTCATCACGAAATAATCTGAGTGGAATAGGACAGCCTGGGGAGTCGCACGAACAGATCTCTCTTTATTTTCCACGGGAAGTATGGATTCACACAGCGCTGATTCATAGCCTTGTATCGAGAGGTCCTTGGCGCATCTCCACGGTGTTTGGAGAGATGACCCAGGGCTGGGTTTCTCCAGGACCCTGAGATAGCTGGGCTGAAACGGTTCCCATAGAGACGGCGGTGGTGGACCGGCCACTGGCATATCAGAGGATGCCAGCATTGCAAGACCCCCAGAAGCCCGGCATCTAAGAGCACAAGCAAACCTATTATCATGCCGAGAGACACAGTGGGATTTATTGGATGCAGGGCAAGGGAGTAAAACCAGTCGAAGCGAGGAGCGGCTTTGGGAACAGGCTCTGATTAAAGGAGCAGCATTGGGCTGCGGGATGCACTCACCTGCACACCCACAGAGCCCAGGAGCCGGTGTCCGGGTTGGAAGTGACCCCAAGGTGTGCCCGGCAGGGGCCAGATGGCCCCTGATGGAGCCCGGGCCTAAATCCTGGGGATCAGAGGACTGCCACCATGTGCCACACCACAGGTCCTAACAGAGCCATCCTCTCTCTTAGCCACGTCCCTGTTCCCAGCATCCCCTCTCCCCAATCCCACCCTCCTCCCTTGCCCTTCAAAAGGGGGAGGGAGAAGAGGAGCTGAAAGGAAAGCATTTTCCGCTGTTGAGAGGTACAGCCTCTTTGGAGAAATCTCCTCATCTCTTTCTCTCTCTCGGGCCTTGTGACTGACCTTTCAGGACGGTCTGCCAACCAAAAGCCCACACTTTGCACCCTGGTGCCTTCCCTTACTGCGCGGCCGTGGAAGGTGGAAAGTTCCAGAGGCGTCTAGAAGGGCGCACCCTGCCAGGCGGAGTTACCGAGCGGGTGGGAAAACCCTGGCATCTTTGAAGTCTGCCCTTCGCCTACACGCACACGAACTAGGGTGTGCATGAAAGGCCTGGTGGGGTCTGAGGACGCAAGGGCATCCATCTGTCTAGGGTGAGAGGGGGTGGGTGTAGGGGGGGAGAGGAGGAAGAGCTGGAACCTTCAGCTCTTAGGTCTTCTTTTTCCCAAGGCGGCTCCAGCCACAGGAGATCTGCCTCGGTCACTTCGCTATCAGCAAAGTCAACAATCCAGGGAAAGAGTTAGGGCTTTGGGTTTTCTTTCCACTCTGAAACTACGACCTGCCCTTCCCGGAGTCTTTCCCGCCACTCCATCCAAGACCTCCAACTGCGCAGAAAGACCACACCCCCCTAAGCTTCCCCCACCCCGCCCCACCCCCTGCAGTTACCTATTTTGTAGCAATATTGTAATCCCAGACGGAACTGCAGAGGTTTAGGGAAATTATTCATTAAAAAAGAAAAACAATTTCCAGAAAATACAAAAATCATAGCCAGGGTATGAGGGATGCCACTATCACCACGTGACCTCCCACGAACATGCCAAGCAAATGTCACCCCTCAACACCTGCCAGGTTCAGTCCCTTGGGCCACAAGAGGCCCCCGAGGGCACTGGGAGACGCCCACCTAGTTCCGAGTCTGAACCAGATGCTCAGAGGGTGACTGAGAAGCCAGCTCCCTGGTGCCCTTCCTGGCGCCAGCCCCGCGCCCCCTCCCACCCCAGAGCCGCATGGCAGATGGGACCCACCACTGCCAGCAGGATGCGGTTCGACCCAGGCGTCTCTCTGAAGTCTCTGCGCGTGGGAGTGGAACATCCTGTTTGCCTATAGTGGCTCTGAGGCTCACACTTCAAAGAGGAGACGAAAAAAGGCAGGGGCTGGAGGCACCCAGGGCCGGAGGAGGCGGGGGAGGGAGGGAGAGAGAGAAGGAGGCGGCTTCAGCAGAGCGGCTGGCTGGCTCGGGAGCTGCTCAGGGGCTGGCAGGGCTCTCCCAGCCTCCAGCAGGTCCCGAGAGGCCGCAGGCTCTCTCCTGGTGCCAGCGAGCCGGAGGAGAGGGCGCTGGGAGTGGTTTAACGAGAGCATCAGGGCCACACCCTGCCCGGGCCGGCGTGAAATGCCCTCGGAGACCTTCAGCCTGGGGCTTCCAGTCTTCGGGATGCCTTGCACACCTCCCGGGGCCACTCCCGGCACTGCAGAGTCACTGGGGGCGCATCTACGGCCACGGTGACCCCACAGATGTCAAAAAGAGAAGAGATGTCATTCCCAGTGGCCTCAGTTGTCTGGGCCCGTGAGCTGCCCTGTATCTCTGCACAGGGTCTTCAGTGTCACTGGCCAAGGGTCTTCGGGGCACTGGCCTAGGAGCACTTGGCCCATCAAGGGTGGTGCTTAGCCAAGGTGGCGGCACGGGTGTGCAACCCGCAGCCCACGGGCCGCATGCAGCCCAGGATGGCTATGGATGCTGCCCAACACAAAATCGTAAATTTACTTAAAACATCGTGAGATTTTTGGTGGGATTACCTGCCGCAGTGTATTTGATACGTGGCCTAAGACAACGCTTGTTCTCCCAGTGTGACCCAGAGGCGCCAAAAGGTTGGGACACCCCCGTTAGAGGATACAGAATGCTCCCCAAAAGTCTCCCTAAGGACACGGCTGAAGACAGTGCACCCAGCGGTGGACCACAGCCTTCTGGGTCACAGGGCCGGTGGCCGTCCCCGTGATAAATGTCCACCCGGTGAGTGGACAGAAACCACGCAACAAGCAGCAACCAGCAGAGGGCTGGTGCAATAAACCGGGGCGTCACCCGAGTACCGGGGGCGCCTCCTGACCGAGCACCAGGCGGCACCGAGTCCTCCCCCAAACCCCGAGAGAACCCCGGTCACACGGAGGAGGAAACAGGGCCCTAGGGGCTCCGCGCTTTGCCCCACGGGCTGGTGTACCGCTCGGCTCCGGCGCCATAACGAGTGCCACAGGCTGCCGGGCTTGAACCACAGACGCTCGTTTCCTCAGAGTTCCGGAGGCTGGAAGTCCAAGGCCAAGGTGTCGGCAGGGGGGTTCCTTCTGTGCCCTCTCTCCTTAGCTTGCAGACGGCTCTTTCTCCCCACTGGCGTCTTCCCACGGTCCTCCCTCTGCGTGTGTCTGTGCCCTAATATCCTCTTCTTAGAAGGACGCCAGTCGCACTGACCCGGGCCTACCCCCAGTGACCTCATGTAACCTTAAACACCTCTTCGGAGACTCTCCGAACACAGTCACGTCCTGATGCACCTGGCCTCAGAGATCACATGACTCGGGGTGGGGCACGCTTTGGCCGCAACGGTGAGCAAGAGGGACCAGTGGGAGGCGAGCATGGGCAGTCACGCTCCGGAGGCCACACTCCCAACCCCTATGCTGCACTGTCACCCACGTGGCAGACCGACCGGCGGCCTATAAAAATGGAGCCTGCAAAAAGCGTTTAGCACGGAAAAGTGTGCGCGAATGGTAAGTGACTAAGCACTAACATTTGTAAATGCACTAAAAATAAAGACAATTTGATTCCAGATAGGCTCTTCAGGAGTTCCGTGAGCACTTCGTAAAGTATGTGATTGTCTAACCCCTGTGCTGCACCCCTGAAACTAACGCAAAATAACACGGAATGTAAACCGTGGCTGAAAAATAAAATTTTAACAGGGAGTGTGTTCGCGTGTATGCATGGCAAATAAATACCTCCAAGGGTCTCGGTGGAGTGGACTGAACAGTGCCCCCCATTTCATTTCCATCGGGAACCTCAGAATGCGACCCCCCTTGGACACGGGGTTGGCGGAGGATGTCAAGATGACGTCACGGCGGACTTGGGGTGGTATCCTGATGGGAGGAGGGCACGCAGAGGCTCACGGAGGGAAGGGGGCCTCCTGCCGGCGGAGGCAGAGAACCGGGGGTGGCGCAGCTCCAGGCCACACCGAGGACTGCCAGCAACCCCCAGAAGCTAGGGACAGGTGAGCAAGGATGCCTCCCCGGAGCCTTCGGAAGGAGCACAGCTCCCCCCACCCCTGCCCCACCACCTTCACTCCGGACCTCTGGCCTCCCAAACTGCGAGGGGATGAAGTTCTGTTGTTTGCAGCAACTCCGTCTGTGGCAAGTTGGTATGACAGCCCGTGGAAACTAAACCAAACTATCGATCTCACCTCACTCTTCGGGGAGCCCAGAAAATGAGATAGCCCTCAGGGTTCCAGAAGGTTCTACAAAACTAGGACTCTTTGATGGGGAGACCTGGCCTCACGGGGGCTGGACGGTGCCTGCCACCCAACCCACACGCCCCACGCGTGTGCAGGACAGAGAAGGACGCGGAGCCGCGTCCAGGGTGGGGGTGGGGCTCCCGCGGGCCGAGGCGTCTGAGTGGGCCGTTCGGGGCACTCGCTCCTTCCCAGAGGCAGGCCGCCGCTCAGGCGGAAAACTCAAGCTGGCAGCTAAATTGCATTCTGTACCTTTTTTTTTTTTTTTTTGGCCAAGACAGCTGTGGCTCCGCAGGTTCCGGTTCTGGCAGCCCCACATCTGTGCGCTGCGTGCCCAGACTGTAAACTGTTCGGCATCGTTGCCTCGGGATCCGATCCCGCAGGCAGCTGGAGGTGGGAGCCCTCGGGAAGAGCCGCGGGAGCCTGCCCGCCCAGGTGCAGCCGCGAGGACCCGAGGACCGCGGCGCTGGCCATCCCCCATCCCACAACCCAGGCACCCGCCCTCTCGAGACCCCAGAGGGCGCCGGGCCCGACTGGGATGTGCCTCCCCGTGGGTGCTCCACCGTGAGAGTGCTCCGAACCTGCTGCTCTAGACAAGGGCCCCCTCCCCAACAGGCCTCGTCCACGGAGAGAATGAGGAGCCTCTCCGTGGACATGTCCACACTGTCTCGGTTAAGCACACGTCAAG